ACAAAGATGGATTTGAGCCAATCTTTGGGAATCTCTCCGGTGTTATATATTGAATTAAAAAGCCTTACTACTACTTTTATGTTATCATTCGCTATTAGTTTCAGCAACTCAGTTGGTGTCTCATCTGGACCACAAGCTTTTCTAATTTTAGCATTGTTTATAGCGTGTTCTATCTCACATTTCATAATTTTTGGGCCGTCAGTACAGTTTTGGTAGAATTCTGCAATACTATTCCTGTCATCTTCAAACAACTCTGATATATAAAGCTGCCACTATTTTCTTATTTCGTGATCATTTACAATGATTTTGTTATTATTGTCTACCAGTACAGAGGAAACTCCTTTTTTAAATATGTTACTTATTTCTTTTAGTTTTTTATGCACATTAAATAAGTCGTGTTTAGATATTATATCCTCCATTTCGTCGCATTTTCTCTTATCCTTTTTTCTTTGGCTAATTTGATCTCCTTTTTTATTCTTCTCTGCAGGTGTCTATATTTTGTTTCATTAGATTTTATCAGTCAATGTTGTTCCATTAATTTTAAGATGTCGTCTGTCATCCATTTATTTTTCTTGATAAAGTTTTTTTATAATCATTGTTTGTGGAGATTTCGTTAACTTGGTTTTTAAATTCACTCCATAGTTCTTCTGGATCTTCTAGTTGTTCTCCGATGTTTTTTGATTCTATTGTTAAATTCTTTTTTAATGTAATGTTTGATGTTTGTATCGCCAAAGCTAAGTACATTGGTTTTTGGTTTTTGTAGCTGAATTTGTTTTAACTTTAGTTTAATATCTGCTATGAGTGGTTGATGATCAGATCCAATATCTTTCCCAGAAAATGTAGTGACTTTTTTAACGACATTTCGCTCATTTACAAGTATATAGTCTATTTGATTTCTTGAAGATTCAGGATTATTGCCATCATCAAATGGGGCTGTCCAAGTGTATAGTCTTGGCTTGGGTAGTTTAGTGAAAAAAGTACATTTTTTTCGTATAAAATATTGTTTAGTAAAAAGTCGTTTTTAACTTACGCGTAATTAAAAGTCCCGAGAAAAACTTGCTTCTCTAGGGTAAAGTATCAAAATTATTATTAAAGTTACAATTCACGATCTCGGTATGATAGTAAAGATTGTTTTTTATAAAACACCACGAATATTTTAATAAATATATTTCCAGGCATTTTAAAAACGGTGTTCGAATGGTTTAATCCAACAGGGCAGATTGTCATTTAGAGTAGGCCCATCAGCCGTTCCCTCTATCAATAAATTTTAAGTGTGTATCCCACTTTGCGAGCGGGTTAAATCCTGGCCTCGGATGTGGCGGCGCCTAGCACCGGTGTGTACGAGACCGATGCGACGACAGGTTATTTATTATACTGATTTTCACAAAAGTATTTTTTGATCAATCCGATCCACAATACGTACATTATGGGAAGTATGGAGGGCGTGAAAATCGACGATTATCCTATTTAATTGGGGTTGATAGCTAATAACTAATCATAATCGTTAAGTTTCCGGCGAAATTCATTAATATAATTCGAGACGGTCGTTGTGCCGGGGTGTTAGTGGACGGTAATTTTACACCGATTTTCTCTTCAAGCTTTTGTTCTAATAATGAACGGAAATGGTTCAGGTTATCGATAAAAGAATATACTGCTGTATGTCCCGGCTATTATCTTTGTGTTTACCATATAACACTGCTCTAGAAATTTATGGAAGCGATCAAATATCAAAAATTGGCAAAAGACCCAAGTTATATCACTGTCCACAGTTATAGAACTAGTCTGAGTAGATTTTACTAACTTAAATTGAAAAAGATTTTCCTCTAAAATAAAACTTTAGCAAAGCTTTAAACGGTAAAGGGGGGGTAAAGAATTGTGGAGGTAGTGTGAATTTAAAGAGATTTCAGTTTACTTCTTCTTTCTCAGCATTTCCATTTTCAAGAACCGCCGTTCCGTACTTTCCTTCACCACTCATCATTTAAACATATTCCTCTTAAGCCATCTCCTACATAATCCTTCCATTTTCTCTGCGGTTTTCTCTACCTCTTTTTCCCTTAACTTTAGAAAGTATCCTTCGCTCCACGTAGTTCTACACAGATATTTTATTAGGTTTTCTGTCTTACCATTCTTCATTATATGTAAAATTTTGACAACCTCATCTTTTGTTATCTCGGGTATTACATTTATATTTATGACTCCCTGTCTCCTATCTGGTATTCTTTACGTAGCTTTAGCTTTATTTTCAAAAGTTCTCATACCACTTTGCCCTACTTCAATATCGGATCTTAACACTCTTCCATCCGCACTCTTAGTCTGCAGCCGTAAGTCAAGCCCTTTGATGACTTATCTCTTGCTTTAGGAATGTTCTAAAACATTTTCATTATATCGGACATTTCCTGTAACTCTTTATACAGATTTGCAGACGATATTTCCTTAGCAGTAACAATATCGCACTTTGTTTCGCTCTTTGCTGCCTTGTTTGCATTTTATCTTCCTCTCGTGTCGACCTCTCATATCTCTTAATAGCCCTTTTATTTTCTCCAACCATTTTACTTCATCGTTTGATAACCAAGTTTCTTTGTTCTTAGGTACCCATTTACCAGATGTTTTCCTAGCCCTTCCTCTCCCACTTGTACCACAAATTTAATGTTGACTTCCCTTCAATCATTAATCTTTTTCCGCAAACTCTTTTAGCACTCTATTCTTGAAGAGTTTTGCCAAGTCCTTATTTTTTAGCTTCCACCACTTTACCAGCCAAATCCTATATTTTTGTAAAGTCTTTTATCATTTATTATTCCTATCTACCAACCTCCATGAACTCTTTCTATTTCTGCTTTTTCTCTACCTGCATCTCTATTCAAATTACCTTCAATAAAAATACTTTTCATCTTCAAGAATCTCGCAATTAAGGTACTCCAAAATTATTTTTTTTCTGTTCTTGACACCCTACCTATGGAGCGTAGGCACGTATAATATTCACGTTTGTTTTCTAGGCCTGTATTCAGTTGGACCCTTACTTTTATATCACTTATTTTTCTTGGGCTTACTAAATGTTGTTCAGAATAACATCCACACCACTTCTGCCATGAGTCTTCACACTTCTTCTTCCTTTAAGGTGCCTGTCCATTCCGAAGGTTGATGATCATTCTGGCAATGATGACTTTGTTGGTTGCTATACGGAATAGCTGTATTGAGGTATTTCTGTACCGTGCTCTCAGGTTAGCAGGCCAGAATATTTTTCTTCATTATAGGGCTCTTTTTTCGGTAATTTTACCTTGCAAAGTGCATTGTAGTAGCTCATATGTCCTTAGTACTGCTGCTTACGATCCTTCAAGATGTTGACCAAATCGGCGGTTGTGTTAATCCTCCGAAAATATTCTTGATTGTTGACTTTGTCCATGGTATCTTTAGGATCCTTCTGTAAACTCATAGCTCAAAATCCTGAAGTTTTGATAGAGTTTCCGCCTTTAATGTGCACCTTTCTTCTCCTTACAAAAGCACTGAGTACACACAATCTTTAAGGAGCCTTATTTTTGTTTCTAGGGTGAGGTCTTAAGGACAGAGCTGTCGAACACATAGCTCATAGTCAAGAATGTACTTTTTGCCTTTTCGATGCGACATTTAATCTCTTGGGTATTCTCTCACGACTCATTGATTATAGTTTCCAAGTAGTTGTACTGTGATACACGTTCAATTCTTATTTGGTTCACATACAGATTTGCTCTTATTATGTTTTCCTTGCTGATGATCATTAGCTTGCTTTTACTGGGGTGTATATCCAGTCCATATGTTCTACTTCTTTTTGCAGCCCTTCTATGGCATTGGAAAATACTACTGTATCATCTACACACTACAGGTTATTGAGCTTGACTCCATAATGTGCTCCGAGTACAGATGCGCCACTGTGTCACTCCCCTTAAGATTTTGACCTGATCTGTATATTCTCCATCTATTCTGAGCACCGCTGATTGATTCCAATACAGGTTAGCTATTATTTTTCGGTCTCTTCCGCCAATTCCTGTCCTCTTCAGCACTTCCATAATTTGTTTATACCTGACTTTATTGAAAGCCTTCTTGTAGTCAATCAGAAATGTAAAAACATCACAGTTTACATATCTATATTTCTGAACCAATATCTGCATGCTATAATAAAGCTTCCTTGTACCAACGGCGTTAACAAATCCAAATTGATTGGCCGCATTTCCGGTAAATTCTTTTGTGGATAAATTTTAAAAACAGCTTTAGCAGATTGCTTATTAGGCTTATGGTTCACAAACTTTTGCTCCTGGTTTTTTTTGGGCAATGGTACGAACTCCGATTTCAGCCACTCTACTGGTATTTTTTTTGCCTTGTGTATTTTATTAAATATTTCAGGTAATATTTTTATTTGTTCTACATCTGATAGTTTCAGCAGTTTTGCAGGAATATCATTAAGGCCTGGTGCCTTTCCACCCTTCATTTGTCTGATGGCTGCCATTATTTATTTTCTTCACACTACCGAAAATTAACTTGCATCCATCTCCATGATCTCTGAATTTGTTACCTATAGAACGAGGTTCTTACACAGAAAGTACACCAATCATTTTCCTCTGTATGAAATCGGCGTATGTATTCCTTTACCTGTTATACTTTTCGACGTTGAGAGTTGCAATCCTCCGAACCAACTTTCTTTGTCCTTTGCGTCCTCTAAGCTCACTGTTCGTAGGCGAGGCATCAACTGCGCGTTGCTTATGGGGAACGCTCTAACCCCTAAACTGATTTCTGTATTTCTCCTTTCCATGGTTTTAATAAGCAAGGTGTTTTACTACCAGATGCTCTTTCTGATGCAAACCTCCCTCCTTTATCCAGGAGTAGGATCGGCACTGGTGGTTACTGAGCTACTCAATCTCTCTAGTCACTACCAGAAGCACAGAAAAAATAAAGCATCATGATTTGTTCAAACATAATGAAGACTTTTTCTGTTACATTGATTCGGCCGTTGACATTATTTTCTACGTATATGATTTGTTCGTCAATTTTAACATCATTTATTTGTTTCAGAACAACAACAATGTCCACCAAGAACATTCTCCTGTGGAGCTGGAGACAGATGCATTCCAGATTATCTATATTGTGATGGTCGGAAAGATTGTGATAACGGCGCAGATGAAGCCAACTGCACACCCGGAGGTGGTACGTATACAAATTTTTGGTTAAGAAAACTTGCAACAAAAATATGTACATATTTTCAGCTGTTTCAAATTGACACCAACATATTATTTAAATGGTGTTTAGAAAGAGCGACTTTGACTTGTGTTCCAAAAATCTATGGATTCTACAGATTTTTGGTATTCGATCTTGGCTGTAATCCAGATCTGGCAACATAGATATACTAAGTAAAAAGTCTTAGTTTTGTTCATAAAATTAGAAAGTCCATTGTCACTAAATATTTCTGAAATCGGACAAAATGATAAATGAAATATTTTCTTTGGTACTCTCTAACTATTTGTACTTTTTTTAACGAAATTGTTAAAAATGTAACTATTCATTTTTTTATATAGTAACTATGTTGCTATTTCTATTCTAAAGGCAGAAGCCTTTTTTGAAAATCATTGATCATAAAATTTTTGTTTTATGTTTAAATAATATGTTGGTTTTTTTGTATATAATACATAATTTCAGTTAAACCAAATTGTAGGATAGATATTTTATTGGCATTTTGACTTTTCTCTCGGAGATCGTTTTCAAAAAACAAGTTGTAAAAATCAAAACAAACTATTTTGTGTTTGGGCACCAAAAATAATTAAGAATTTCACAAGAATGAAATGATTTATTTGAAATTAAAATCTTAAATTTTGAAAACGACTAAATCGGGAAGACGGAAAATCAATAAAACTGTTACAAAGTCCTACAAGTGGTTAATTTTTGTTTTATGTAAAATATTTTTTAAAAGTAAAATTTTAAAATTCAGTACAATTTTTTCAGTACAGTATTTATACAACAGGTGTTATAAAATTGAAGCATTGTGGATCTTATTATAATACAGTTTTAATTATTTAGTTGTAGTACGTTACAATCTAGTCAATACATCAATAGAATAATTAAGTAAATGTGATCTAAGAGGAAGAGCTTCATTCAAGTGTCAAGTACCTCATATCAGTAGATCATTGTAAATCTCAGTTTTGGTCAAAGTCTCTCAAATTTTCTTTCTACTGGTTAGTGGAATAGACTCTTTTTATATGATTTTTTGGCTTAATCTGTGATGCGATGATTGGAACGTTGGAAAGCTCTTTGGTTTGGATGGTCTTTATAATATGAGAGATAAAGTTTTAATATTGTAGTAAACGTAAGAATAAACTTGCAACAGTAGATTTTGCAAAATAATTTTGACGCTTAAATTGGATTATTTAAGTTGAGTTCAGTACTTTGAATTTCCTCGCTTGACTGTTTCATTATGGGCTTTTTCTATGAATTTAGTTACATGAAGATTGTACAACGAATAACCTTCTTTTTCCTATGTTTTTAAAAATTCTTTCAATATCATTGTATAGGCTATTATTGTGATTACAGCTACAAAGTCAATAAAGTCTAGAATAATGATTTATTTTTAAAACTTCAAATTTATTTAGGGACACACAGTTCCAAGTACAGCGGTTACAGTGCTATAACTGAATACATCGATCTGGATTCTTGTAGTCTTTTTTATTTTTTGCACTTATTTGTCATATTTTTATCCTTTCTATTTTCAATTAGGGTTCCTTATTCCTTATTCCATATTTCTTTGGCATCTTTTATTTTATCCCCTTTTTAACTACGATAATAATTTTAGTTTCATCGATATTTCTTTACGTGACTTTAACATATGTACGGATATTTATAAAGGAATGGGGAACAGAAATACTGTATTAACTTTAAAGCTATACCTTCCACGGAAAAATTTAGCTTATCTAGCTGGTTCGTATGTACATATTATACACTAAACCCTATAATAAGATTCACAAGCTTCCATTTTATTTTATAAAATATTACGCAAAGTTTTTTCTACACACTATTACCATGTAAAATAAGCTTTTAATTTTTTGTGTTTGTTTAACAGCTTAATATTGCCTGGCTTGTTAAATGCATCTTGAGAAGCATTTTGAGGTTTTATTTTTGCATTTGGGTTAAGCGCAAACAGCATTTTAAATGACTGCTTGACGGTTTTTCAACTTAACAAGTAAAAGCTCCCATCGAGAGCTTTTTACGAACCGAGAAAAGATTTTGCTATACGCAGAACTCATTTTACTACACTGAAAATTATTAATGTTTATTATCGTTCATTTTTTATTTCAACTAGTGCTGTGCATTACCATTGGGTATTGTAAGGAATCGTAAACTTTCAGAGACTAACGTTCATTTGGTAATCATTCTTTTTTACGGACAAAATTGTCTAGCATGTACTGAAAAAGAAAGTTTCCTCTAAGGAATTATTTATAACAAATGCTTATTAATCGAAACAATATATGTATTAAAATATATGCATTAAATTCCTGAATATTTTACAATGTTTATAAAAGTATATTGGTAAACTCCTTTAGGCGGAGTTCGAATTGTATTTGGTCGAAAGTTATTTAAAACAAAAATATGAAGCTATATATTAAATAGGTTTATCACTACTACCTTTATTAGCTAACGATACAAACACTTTTACTATCCAAGAAGAGAAAAACGCAAAAATTTCATGGGCAAAACTGGCGCATCCGCCAAACTTTTAAATTGTCAATATTCCCAATTTGGCACTATAATATGCAATGCAGCATGTCAGTATTCATCCTGTTTGTCAAATGCACAAGGATACATCTTCCAATATTCTAATTATAAGATATGCCGCACAAGTTTTATATGTCTGAGCAGTAATATTTTGGAATTTCTTGAGAAAAAAGTGATTCTTCTCTTCAAGTTTAGAAAAAAAAAGAAAACTGTAAGAGCAACATCGCTACCAAACGTGTGGATACTTGTGGATTAAATAAGGAAAAATCTACGAAAATAACACTGAAAACTTTGATTTCTACAATTTTCCACAATCCCCAACACGGCTGTTTCGGCAGCAGTGAAAATAAAGTTCTTGAAGTTGTAGAAACACTTTCAGTGTTTTATTCGTAGATAAAATAAACTTCCATCTAGTAATTGGACGAATTCATCACATATTTAAAAAAATCTGTAAAAAGTTTTGGCAAGGGCCAAGTAAACAGACAGAAAACATCATTTTCTGCAGATGCTAAAAGTAAAACATCAACCACAGCAACTAAATGAAATAAAGTCATGCCTACAAAAAAACCAAAGACACCAAGCTCTGCCAAGACTGCCATAAGTTCACCAAAAACTAAAAAATCTGCTGTTCCTAAGAAGACAGACTAATGTCTAGGATACTAAAGACAAAGATATTAGATCTGTTTTATTCACATATCCTGTTATGAGTTTTTTCTTGCGAGTTATATTTCTGGTGTATATAGTCAACATATTTATGTCCACTCATAAATTTTCTATAGATATTTTTTTTCTGAGTAGTTGGTTCTACACAGTTCGTATAGAACTACTCTGAACTACTATACATATTAAATCCTAATTTTTGGAAAAAGGAGCTAAGGCGCTGGTACTTTGTATTTATTAACTGGGCATTATATGGCCAGTAATACTTTAAGGGAAAATATGTAGGCGTTCGCCGTACATCGTCTTGTCAGGTGAGATATTAAATAGTCAGGATTAAATAATTATGTTTTTAGCAGCATTGCGAAGCATTTCATAGCTGTGGATTCCTGTCCATTCTCGAATATTGCGCAGCGATGACATTTTTTTACGTCCCAGACCTCTCCTACCCCCTATCTTCCCTTCGAGTATCATTTGCTGAAAAGTTTATCTTTCTCCTCGTAACATGTGCCCCAAGTATGCAGTCTTCTTACTTTTTACATAAATAAAAATTTTTGTATCCTGTAAGCCCGCTCTTCTGAGTACTTCCTCATTTCTGACCCTGTCTGTCCATGATATTCTAAGCATTCGACGCAGGCACCACATTTCAAACATTTTAAGTTTGTTAATGGAACTGGCCTTTAACGTCCATGCTTTCACTCCGTACAAGAGAATAGGCCACTCCTAACACTTAAGCATCTTGTATCGGAGTTTGAAGTCGAATTTGCGATCAGTCAGAAACTTACGAAGCCTCAAAAAGCATTTCTGGCTTGTTCAACTCTGCTCTTTATTTCATTCTCGAGGTCCCAACCCTCGTTCAAACAACCCAAGTATTTAAATTGCCTGACCTGTTCGATTTCTTCTCCAGAGACATATCTTTGCGTTGGGGTAATCATTTCTACTTATAATCATTTGTTTTTGTCTTCTTGATATTTATTTTTAAACCCCGAGCTTCACTTGCAAGAGTTAGATCATTTAAAAGACATTGAAGATCTTCGATGTTATCTGCCACTATGGCTGTATCATCGGCATACCTGATAAATATTTGAAATAAAAACTTGAAATTAACACCAAAAAGAGTTAAATTATGGTCTATTTTAAATTAAAACGCAAAATATTAAAATTAAATAAAATAAATCAGACAACATAACCTCAGACTGTGAGGTATTTGATTTAATTAAATATTTGATTACAATCAAGTTTTAATTAGCGTTCGAATAACATACCCTAAAGCTTCCAAATCATATATTAGTTGCCAAGTAAACCTGTTTATAATTTACTTCCTATCATTCGCGATTTTGATCGATTATATCAACTAAAATCACAAAAATATTGTTCCTTATTTCACTTATCCAAAATTGTATTTATTTAGGCTCTATGGCGAAAACAATTGTGGCACAAGTTTACCAATTATTTTTTTGGGTTTTGCTTAGTAAGCATTTGTTTAAAGTTCAATAAATATTATTAATCACGGCACAAAACATTTTCTTTTTTCACCAAAGATAATTAACTTGATAATGTGAAAATTATTTAATATTAAAATATATACGTAATATAAATGGTAATTTTGCAAAAAAAGTTGTATATATAAACATATTTTTAAGCAAAATTCCCATTTTCTAAAAGTGAAAACGTCCACAACATTTAAAAAAACGGGATAAGCCGCCGTACTAACAACACCTATAGTGCGGAGGTTTATTGCGTCAAATTTCTATTTGGACAATTTCACACCCCTTCAGTAGTCATCA